GGCAGTGCTGATACCATCTATAGTCAGTATTCACTAATTTCCACGAGTATCTGAAAGAATTAAAGAAGTAAGCACCATTATGCTAGTTTTTTTACATCAGACAACTGCTCAGGGATAAGACTGGGATTAATTCCAATGATCGCTATAATTCCAAATGACTATATATATTTCCAAGTTGAGTCTTCTCAATTCTGTGCTAAGGGTTACTTCTTAGAAGAAGAAACTAACGTGCGGGCTGGAGAGATGGCTCAGAGGTTAGGAGCGTTGCCTGCTCTTCCAAAGGTCCTGAGTTCAATTCCCAGCAACCACATGGTGGCTCACAACCATCTGTAATGGGGTCTGGTGCCCTCTTCTGGCCTTCAGGCATACAGACAGACAGAACATTGTATGCATAATAAATAAGTATTAAAAGAAAAAGAAACGGAAGTGCTTGTGAGTTTGTCCAAGATATGACTAGTAAGAGGGACTTTAGAGACGCTGTGTTTACTATGCTCGTCTTTTCCATACCGCCTGTACCGAGTCCAAATCTCCTGTAGTGCCTTAATGTCCTCCTCACCTCGAGAAGGCAGAACAGAAGATGGGGTTTTCTCCTTTACCCTTAGCCTAGCAGAAGTGAAAGCATTAAACAAGTAATTTAAACTTGGGGCATTGTTTCATTTCCAATGTTTTCAGTAATTCTTTGAGCAAATATTTATTGAGTATCTCCAGTCTAGGGTTGGAAAACACTGGAGAAAACAGTTCTGAATAGGACCCAGACAGACTCCACCTTCAAATAAAGACACCAAGTATATATATTCCTAAACATATAAAACAATCTGCTCAGTCCATATATGTATGTATGTGTATGTATGTATGTATGTATGAATGAACATCTAAAGAGGCCATGAATTTGAGTGGTGGTGGGGGTACACAGGAGTGATTGGAAGGAAGAAAGGGAAAATTTATTTAATTATATTTTAACTTTAAAAAATAGAGTAAATTATTGAGGGTTATTTAAAGCTTTTATAATAAAACAAATAAATACGTCAGAGTAAAGGAATAGAAATACATGGAGCACTAGCTGAATGAGGCAGCTATGCTCACTGACTTGGAAAGATGCCACAAAGTACAGCTAATTTCAAAGTACACGCAGCCCCTTAGTGAAGAACAGAAGCATTTTGTTGTTGTTTATGGAAATGTGCACAGAGATTCTGTGCATTATATTAAAAAGTAACCTCTGATATCTTAGCAGTGGTTGCGTGTGAAGTTAGGATTATATCATCATTTCTGTAGTGATAGGATTGTAAGAGTTTTTAGTTTCCAAATATTTAAGAATATACAACATAGTGGACAATGAGGGCTACTGAGAACTCAAGAACAATGGCAATGGGTTTTTGATCCTACTGCACGTACTGGCTTTGGGGGAGCCTAGGCAGTTTGGCTGCTCACCTTACTAGACCTGGATGGAGATGGGTGGTCCTTGGACTTCCCACAGGGCAGGGACACTTGATTGCTCTTTGGGCTAACGAGGGAGGGGGACTTGATTGGAGGAGGGGGAAGGAAATGGGAGGCGGTGGCAGGGAAGAGTCAGAAATCTTTAATCAATAAATAAAAATTAAAAAAAGAATATATTCTAGTTCTAGTTCTATTTGCCTACAAACTTTACAACAGTTGAATAATACTCCATTGTATGAATATACTACATTTTGTTATCCACTCTTCTGCTGACGTTCGTCTACACTGATTCTAATTTATGACTATTATGAATAGATCAGTAATGAACATATTTGAGCAAGTGTTACTGGGGTTGGATGAAGTATCCTTTGGGTGTATGTCCAAGAGTGGCATAGCGGGATCTTGAGATAGATTGATTCTCATCTTCCTGAGAAATAGCCAAATTGATTTCCATAATAGGCTATAAAAGTATGCACCCCAGCCAGCAAAGGATGAATGTTTCCTTTTTTCCACATCCTAGCCAGCCATTTATGTTATGATCTTAGCCTTTTTGACAGGTGTAAGATGAAATCTCACAGTAGCTTTGATTTGCATTTCCATGATGACTTAAGTGTAGAATATTTAAATGTTTCTCAGTTATCTGAGTTTCCTCTTTTGAGAATTTTCTGGCTAGATCTCTATCCCATTTAAAAATTAGGTTGCTTTCTTGATACCTAATTTTTTGAGTTCTCTATATATTTTAGGTAGTAGTTCTCTATTGGATGTATAGTTGTGTTGGAACATGGTCCATGAATGTAGTCGTGTGAGGAAAATTGTGAGTGCTTATAACAAACTTCAATAACACAAAACAATTAGCGTCATCAACTTCAGCTTTTGCTCTTTGGTATTACTCTTTTAACCGATTTTAAAAGCTCATGAATTTATTCTTTCTTACACATAAAAGTACATTGGCATTTTTATTATTGAAGTTGTTGAAGATTTAGTGTCTGGTGCTGGTTGGTATGTCACAGTTTGGATTTCTGATTCTCTAGAAGAGTGGCAGGAAACACCTGGATTCTGACCACAGAGCTGAAGCCGTGTCTCCCTGCTGTTGTTCTGTTTCTGCTGCTGCTGCTTTTTAAACAAGATATTGTTTATTTAAAACTCCCTTGCTCTACATTGGATAATTGAGTATGTGCATCTTATTTATTCAATAACTAGATTTTCCGTATCCAGCTGGTCCCCAGTTTGTTTTCCTTGCTTCTATTTTAGTTTTCAATACTAGCTCAGTTTTCAGTTTACTTGCTTTCTACTTAACTTTGTTACTTAACTGCCTACAATAAAATTGATTCTGTTTAAAGATATTAAAATACTTAAGAACCTCCTTTACTTGCATGTTATTTTGCTTTGAAGTAAAATAGTTTTAATGTGTGTGTACGTGCACTGAACTAGATATATATGCACATATACACAGTGTAGTCTTTTAAAAGGACATTTTTCAATGGGTTTAATTCTCATGAAATATTCCTATTTTTTAGGAATATTTTCATAAATTTACCTTTATGTCATTATGATAATGAAAATGTAGTGTGTGTTCTTTGTTAGTAAAATTTCTTTTTTATATTATTATTTATATCCAATACTTAGAGATAATATTTTGACAGTTAAATGTAATGACATTTCCTCTTCACTGTTTTTCAGTTTTCTAAGCTTGTTTATTTCTTAAAGATGATAAACTATTTTGGAATTTCTTGTGCATATTCTTTGAATTGTGTGTTTGATATAAGAACACTGGTGTGTGGGCATGATGGAGTAAATAAATTGAATTGTTAAGTGCTTATACAAACAGATGGGAAAGTATAGAAAGTTTTTTAAAAGACAGGACCTAGAGCTAAGAAAGATTTTGGTAGTTTTAATCATGCAGTTTTTTTTAAACTAAAGATATACCTTTTAACACCAGTTGCAGAGTAGAAAGTTTTGCTTTTTTTGTTTTTTCTTTCAGAATGGAGATCTAATCATCTCATGGCCATAAAATCTAGTTGTACCTTCTTTCTATGTATTTATCTAGCCTCTATCTTTAACCCAAGCACTAAGTTACTCTCATGATAACCTGCTTTTTTCTAATGATTTTTGACCATCATAGATATCAGTGACGCTGACTAAAATAGTTTAAGAAGAAAAAAATTCTAAACATAGCAAATTTAAAATCTTATTCCCCAAATATATTTTCATATCTTGCTGATGGCAAATCAACTGTCTTCATATTTGATTTATTTTAGCAACAAAATTTTTCTTGGTTTACACTGCAAGAAGCCTTACCCTGGTGCTGTTAGTTCAGCATCCGTGTGTTTCTGCATTCTGATAATGTGTGAAGACTGCTTAGGTAGCACACCCAGATTACTAATCTGGTCACTCTGCTTTGTTCTCTGACATGCTTGTCATGTGTGTCACAAGTAGTCCCTCTTCCTGAAATTTTTATTCCTAGAAAACACATAATGTTAGCAAAAAGTCTCCAAAACAGTTTAAGGGCTGGAGAGTTGACTCAGCAGTTGAGTACCTGCTGCTTTTCCAAAGCTCCTGAGTTCATCGCAGTGCTCGTAGCAGGTGGCTCAGAACTGCTTGCAATTCCAGTGCCGGGGATCTGGCCTCTGCGGGCACACCCCACCACACACACACACACACACACACACACACACACACACACACACACACCTTTTTAAATTAAGTATAATTGTTAAAATGAGACATTTGAATATGTTTATAAGGTTGGAATTCTTGGGGAAAGTTTTTCCTAAATATAGTTGGCAAGTATTTGAAGTCTTGGGTATTTCTTTTTGTCATAATTAATAGGTTGGCCTGTATGTAGAAGCTTACTTAGAAAATAATTCATTTTACTTTAAATGTCAAGTCCAATGGATTTGCTTTGATGAGTTTTCTTATATTTGCTTTTTTGTCTTGCCATTTTGAATCTCGATTTATGGTCTGTGACTTAGAATTTTTAAATGTGTTCTTTATTCTTGTTAACCTAAGCAATTTTCTTCCAGTGAGTGTTGGAAACATAGAGACATACTAAATTGGCATTTAATATCTGGAGAGCAATGAGGGTAGTTTTTTTGTAGTGCTAGAAATAGGTCAACCAAATGTCATTAGTGCTCATCTTTGGGAATGTGTTGACCCTAGGAAATATACAAGGGCCTGAATCTTGACAGTGATTTATGTCAAAACATACAAAAGAAAAAACCAAATAAGTTGATCAAAGATAAATCACTATATTTGGTAATATTGTAGTCATTTTTGTGAAACAACAGAAGAAAGTATATGTATCTTTATTTAACATAAGATAAATGTGCAGCTGCTAACCTGCTTTTATCTTGATCTGCATCATCACTTTAGTTTTCTAATGTGCTAACCAGAACGACCTCATGACCGATAAATAGAACTCAGAAGAAGCCATGAGTTAAGGTAACAAGGTTTGAAGATAGGAGATGTTCAAATACTAACCTTCTACCAATATAATTTAGGAATTTTCAAATAAGCAACTATCTACTCTGTCTTCATCCTAATAATCATGTGCTTCTGCCTTTTAGAACCAAAGTCACAACCACAGCACCTTCATCAAGGACAACACAGAGTGTCAAATACTGAACAAAATGGGATAAAAGATAGCAATCAATCAAAACATCTTCCTCGAAACGATACCAGGCAGCCGAGAAATGAGAAACCTCCTCGTTTTCAAAGAGACACCCCCAATTCGAAGTCAGCCTTAGAAAGCAGTGTTTTATCTAGAAACAGAGGCTCTGAAAGACCGGGTGGTTCTTCTGGTCCTGAAGTGTGGGCAGAAGAGAGGATCAAGTGCGATAGACCATATTATAGATATGACAGAACTAAAGACACTTCATATCCGTTAAGTTCTCAGCACAATGATGGTGCTTTTAGAAAAAGAGATAACTCTATGCAGAACAGATCAGGAAGAGGTCCATTGTATACAGAGGCAAAAGAAAACCCACTTCCTCAAGAATTCATAGACTATAATAATCAAAAACGTGGGAAAAGAGAAAACCAAACAGGTAATCCTGATCATTTTTATGACAGGAAATCACGGACAATGAATAATGAAGCTTTTAGTGGTCTAAAAATTGAAAAACATTTTAGTGTAAATACTGACTACCAAAATCCTGTTCGAAGTAATAGTTTTGTTGCTGTTCCAAATGGAGAGACAGAAATGCCACTGAAAGGAAGACGCGTAGGACCAATTAAGCCAACAGGACCTGTCACAACTGTGTCCTATGATGATAAAGTATTTTATAATAGTGGGCCTAAAAGAAGATCTGGGCCAATTAAGCCTGAGAAGGTGATAGAATCATCTATTCCTGTGGAGTATGCAAAGATGTGGAAACCTGGAGATGAGTGTTTTGCACTTTATTGGGAAGACAACAAGGTATGACTGTTTCAGATACAGTGCTCTGTAATGTTCTGATGGTACTCTGTATGTCTTATTCTGTAATCATACCTGTTTGGGGCCTTTAAAGAGATTTACAGATGTGTAATTCATAAAAGAAAAAATATTTAACATTTATGTGGATACTTGGAATTTGTTTATCTTACATATGAGAGCCATATCAAAATGATTAAACAGTTCAGCTCTGTTTCACTTATCATTTGCTAAATGATAGATGTTTAGTTTCTTGCAGATTTTACTGATGGGGGGAGGATCATTTCAGTGGTACAAAGTTATTGCAAATTTTTATTTAAAAATATATACTGTAAAAAAGAGGAAATTATATAAGCTTTTTTTTTTAAACCTTGCAACAAATAAATGGTTATTAGTTGGCTAAAAGGGGAAGGAAGAATTGGGCAGAAAAGAAGACAGGGGAAAAAGTCAAGTGGTAAGAATCTGGTGAGAGAGCCGGGCAATGGTGGCGCACGCCTTTAATCACAGCACTCGGGAGGCAGAGGCGGGCGGATCTCTGTGAGTTCGAGCCCGGTCTACAAGAGCTAGTTCCAGGACAGGCTCCAAAGCCACAGAGAAACCCTGTCTCGAAAAACCAAAAAAAAAAAAAAAAAGAATCTGGTGAGAGCTGGGAGACAGGTCAGGTGAGCACAGAAAGGGAAGAGAACCCAGAATGTTACTTGTTTTTTAACTTTATTGGTTCATTGAAAATTTTGTGTCATGTTTGATTATATTTGCTACCCATCCCAACTCCTTTCAGATCCACTCCTCGTTCCCTACCCATCCAACTTTGTGTTTTGTTTTCAAAATTTATTATTTAAATTTTATTATACTCATCAAGTCCAATTTGTGCTGCCCATATAGTCGCAGATGTGGGGACACTGACTGTAGCACGGTCTACTTCCCAGGGTACAGTTTAAGAGAAAATGGACTCCTCTCAGCAGCTCTCAGCTGCCAGCATTCCTCTGTGAGGAGGGGTCTTGAGCACTCCTCCCCTTTCCCTTCTGTGACATAGTCTGACTTCAGCTTGCTCGGGCCTTGTGTTTGCTGTCACAAGCACTGTGAGTGGGGCGTGTCCCTGCTAGGCCCAGAAAACATTTTTTCCATGTAGTCATCCACTGCCTCGACTCTAACACTATTTCTGCCCTCTCCCCCATTGTGGTCCTTGAGCCATGGGGGAAGGGGCTGTGATATAGATGTCCCTTTTAGAACTAAACATTCCATTATCATTCTCTGCATCGTGACTGGTTGTGAATGTCTTTGTCAGTTACCCTCTGCTGCAAATAGAAGCTTCTCTGATGTGAGTTGATAGATGGGTGTAACAACCAGTCTCTCAGATGGTTTCATACCATGGCCATTAAGCTGAATGACAGGAGTAGTAGGTTCTTACACAGGGACTATGACCTCTCTAGCCACAGGTTCTTGGTCCAGATCGTGGTACCAGCTATGGGCGTCAACTTGTGAGGTGGGCCTTAAGTCCAGTTAGAAAGTGGCTGCTTATGCTCTTTATGTTCTGCCCCTGTTGTACCATTGGGCATGTCCTGTCAAAGCAGTCATTATTACTGTTGGCAGGATTCATGTCTGAGGAAGACTGATGCTTCCTTTTCTCCTCTAGTAGTGCGCCTAGTACCTTTCAGAACTCTGAAAGCTAGCCAGTAGGAATGAAGCTCTCAGGTTAGCACTAGCTTGCTCTCTATCTCCATGTACTGTGCCTTCAGTATGTACTCTTCAGCTGGAGCATATCATTGTGGTAATACCTTGTATTGTGTAGAGTCTACGGGAACTCTCTGGTTAACTCCAAAAGAGGTAACCCACTCTTGGTATATATAGGGCTTTTTGTTTGTTAGCTTGTAAATGCCTTCTCCGGGGCATTGCCACCCTGTTATAGGCTAGCTCTATTTAATCTCAGTCTCTCTGTCTCCTCCTCTCTCTCCCTCCCCCTCCCCCCATGTGCATCTGTGTGTGTGTTTTGAAGCTTCCACAGAATAGTAGCAAGTTTATATATGACTGTTTCTAAAGGTCTTTATCCCTTGTTCCCTCCTCGACCCTGTCCTCCCATTCCCACCCAATTTAACTTTTCCTGTTCAATTATTTTTCTATCTGTCTTTCCTTCTAACATCCTTCCTCCCCTTACTAATTTCCTAGCCTCTTTGGCATTCCAATTGAAGCATGCATACCTGCAGATATAAAGCTCATATTCATAAATGAGAGAAACACTTGTCTTTTTCAGTCTGGGTTATCTTCATTTCCCTGTATATTTCATAATTTTGTTTTTCTGAACAGCTAATAATAGTCCATTGTGTAAATATAACACATTTTCCTTATCTATTCATCAGTTGATAGACATCTAGGCTGCCTCTTCCTGGCTGTCGTGAATAGAGCATCAGTGAAAATGGATGAGCAGGTATCACTAGAGTAGGGTACAGAGTCATCTTTGTGTATTTTCAAAAGTGATGTAGCTGGATCATGTGGAAGATCTATTTTCAGTTTTTTAGGACCTGCTACAGATTTCCACAGTGACTGTACCAGGTTGTTTCTTGGCCATTTTCATTTCATTTTTTTTGAGAACTCCGTTTACATCCATTAGTTCCATCTCCATTTTACAATGGAATTTTAATCTTTAAATGACTGTGCCAATAGCTCATGCTTGGAGTGGGATAGAATATCTAACTTATTTTTTTTTCCTGGGATTTGGTGTGGTCTAAGCTCACATAAGTTTTATACAAGCTGTCACAACTGCTATGAGTTCATACACTGCCCTGCTGGGTCCAGAAGATAATCTTTGCCTTTTATCATCCACTCCCGTACTTTCTCTACTCCTTGCAGCTTGGGAAGCCAGTTACAGTATTTGTGTTTCCTTTAGGGCTAAGCATTCTGCAGTCTAGAACTCTCTGAACCTTGGCCAGTGGTGGGTCACTGTGTCAATTACCATCTACTACAAAAAGATTTTTGGATTGATCTATGAAGTATAACAGTTAAGAAATTGTTTTGATACTTTGTCCATTTAGCAGCATGTTATTGCTTTTGGTTGAATGCCATTTTCATATTATTAATCCTACAATCCATGAGCACGAGAGTTTTTTCCTTCTTCTGGTATCTTCTTTAATTTCTGTTTTCAATAACTTAGGTTTTCACCATTTAAGTCTTTCACTTTGTTGGCTAGATTTATTATAATATATTCTATTTGAGAAAAATTTAGTCATTTTATGTGTATGAGTCTGCATATATGTATGTGCACCATGTGTGTGCCTGGTGCCCATGGAGGTCAGTCAGAAGAGGGGTGTCATATTCCCCTGGAACTAGAGTTACAGATGGTTGTGAATATGTTCCTGGCTGGTGCTAGTGGAGGTCAAAAGAAGGGGTCAGATCCCCTAAATTGGAGTTATAAATGCTTGTGAGCTCCTGTATGTGTGCTGGGAACCAAGCCAAGTTCTTCATCAAGAACAACAAATGCTCTTAGTCACTGAGTCATCTTCCAGGCTTAGGATATTTCATTTCATATTCTGAGGCCATGATGAATGGTATTTGTTTCTAGATTTCCTTCTCTGTGTGTTTGTCATTTGCATATAGGAAAGCTACTGAGTTTTATTTACCTGTTTTATAGTCTGCCACTTTGCTGGACATAGTTATCAGCCTCAAGTAATGACAGCAACACTCATCAGCTAACTCTTGGCAAGTCTAAAACCATCTCTTTCAGGAGCAAGGATATCTCCTTGGTACTCTTGTTCATTGCCAAAGGCATAGAAGCCTTGGATATGAATGATCAGCCACAGATAAATGGAGTAACAGAGAACAGATCTGCCTATTTGCTCATAATTGAAATTGGCAGACGAGTTCCTTCAGCAAGTTTTGAGTATTAAACAAACAATAACTCAGCAGTTGATAGACACCAGGTTGGGAATATGAAGTTAGTTTTGACTGTGTGTACTGATATCCAGATGCTTCCCAGAACTTGATACACTTTTTAATAAAATTTTAATCTTAATTATAATTGTCTCTAAAAAATCAGTGTGCTGGTAGGATCAAATACAACATTTCTTTTCAATGAAACATTCTAGTTATTTGTCATTGTACTAGCCTATACTTAATAGATACTTTATCTATATAAAGACTGTATTAATTTAAGAACATAGAAAAAACCCAATGTGTTGAATTCATTTGTTACCCATATTATATACATTTATAATAATGGTCCAGACTATCTTGATATTCAGAACATTTTTTAATACTTTTAAGTAACAGAAATCGACACTGCTCGTCCTGTGAAGAGATGGCACTTGTTCTCTCCTAAAGCCATCCTGCTTAAGAGGCATATTTTAAATGTTTTGTCAAGAAGAGACAACTTCCAGATTTTTTTTAATTAGAAACAAAGATAGAAATTTAAGAAAAGAAATGGACTATAACTACCATCAGGAAACTGTGCCTTAATTTTATTATAATAATGTTTTAGAGATGATCAACTTGTATATTCTAATGTTAATGTTTACACAGTTCCACATAATACCTTGTTTTATTTCCATTGAACTTAGAATTTGAGGCAGCTTTCTGACTCTCTTTATACTATAAAACTAACTCAATTATTTTCTCCCTCCGAACTTGAATATTATAGCAATAACCTCCAAATTGTTTTCCTTGCCTGTAATCTTAGATCTCTCAAGTTTGTCATTGATATTGGTCTTAGACCACATGAATGTGCCTCTTAAAATCTCTTGCCTATACATGAACTCTCTTACCTATGAAGGGTTCATAGACCCTTCATTATCTGAACTTTACTACTTACTGATCCTAATTTTTTATTTGTTGAGCAGTCATGTCATATCATAATTAGTTTAAAACTTCTATTATTAGTTGCCTATGTTCTGTTCATCTTCATGGCCCCATAACTTCCCCTAGAATATCTTTTTTTTTTTTTTTTTTTAGCTAAACATTCTTCATCTTTAAATGAATTCCATTTCTCAGGATGAATTCTCAGCTCTTTTAAGTTGCACGTCATTACATCTGTAGTTCACTATTTTCCACGTTATAAGATAAGTTTTTCTTTGTTTTTAACATGGATCGCCTTTATTAAGCTGTAGGGTACTTTAAAAAAATTAAACATATAGCTTTATTTGGCTCTGGGGTTCTTAAGTAAGGCTTCTTAGAAGTCTCCTCTGTGTCAAGGCTGTATTTTAGAGAGTTGAAGATAAAAACCAGAGAAATGGAATACTGAACTCTTTTGGTTACTGCATGGAATCACAAGAGCTAAAGATTAAGCTGTAAGTTCCTAAGAAGGCGTTGCCTTCTTACTTGTTTTCCTGGGCTACAGTATGATTGTTGAACTTATTGTGAACTGACATAATTTGAGAAGCTTAAAATTGAAACATACACTCAAAACAACTCAGAGCACAATAGTGAGTCTAAGAACAATATAGGAAGGAAGAGAGGAATATTTGCCAAAGCCCTGAGATAAGGCCGTCCCAGCATGTTGCTCTAAGCTAAGTAAAACCCAGACGTGAAAAGGAAACCTCAGGGATTAATCTGACCCTTATATGAGATGGACTAGTTATTAATAAAATATATCAATTAAGAATCAACTCGTTCTTGGTCCATACTTGGAGTTACCTAACCTTTAGAAGGATGTGGAGAATATGATTTTTTTAACCTTTTCTCATTTTATTGAGATATTAAAATACATTAACATATACTGGCAGAGTACACATTGCCTCTATAGACAACGCTGATGTCCTATGTGAAACTTGTTTTTGCCTCCTCAGTTTTACCGAGCAGAAGTTGAAGCCCTCCATTCTTCCGGCATGACCGCAGTTGTTAAGTTCACTGACTACGGCAACTATGAAGAGGTGCTGCTAAGCAATATCAAGCCCATTCAGACAGAGGCGTGGGTATGTGATCCAAATTCTATACAAAGGCTACTCTGAAGAAAATAAATAGTTCTAAGAGATTAGGTGTAGTCATACAAAAATTGCAAGTGAGAAATGCTGAGTTCATTTCAAAGTGGCTATTCCAACTAAAGAGGTCACTTTATCTGAACTGAGAATGGATGCACTACAATCCCTTACATGTATAATGTGCTGTTAAATCATGCTTTGGAAATAGCTACCCTTGTTTGGGTTTGCCAAATATTTTTATGTGTAAAATTGGGTTTTATGAATATTTTCTTTTTCAGATTACTTTAAATTCGGTTAAGTTATATCCAAAATTTGTCAAATTTCAATCTCAATGGGAAACATCATGTTTATTGTTTGAGGTACCTATACAATCAGGAAAAGCACTTTAAATTATGTATGGTTTTGTACATTGTTTACCACATGCATGTCTTTACACATGTATATGTGCAGAGTAACTGAATATCAACTTAGTAATTACTTGATTAGTTTTGTTGCCAGTTGTTTGACAAAGCTGTACAATAACTGAGATCGTGTAAGTTAGAATTTCTCTGGCCAGATATAGCCCATGTTTTATGGGACTTGCTAACTTTATACAGGCTGATTATCGTCCACATGTAAGTACGAATACCCATAGAAAAGTGTCCTCTAGTGTTCATTTTCATTAATTTGCTGCATTTTCCCTAAAGTGTCAAAATAAGCAGAAAATCAGATCATCCTGCCGGCAGCCCTCATCTCTGGAGCCCTACATTGTCTTTTTTCATGAGCTGCTTTTAGATTTGGTGTTTTAAGGATTTTCTGTCTTGTCTTTATTGGTGTCCTCATCCTCCAGTATAAATAAAGCAAGAACACAGAACCCAATTGCAGTTTTCAGACTTAGAGGCATGAATATTTGTTGCCTTTTTATTCAAGAAAAACTATTATTTTCTAAGGCAATTCGCCATTTTACTTTACAGTATGATATTACTGGTGGTTCTTAGATTTAATTAAGAGGGCACATCCTTTATCCTGATTTTCTAAAGTTGTTTTTTTTCTCAAAGACCAAGGTACCATCATTTTCTAATTTATATTTTTCCTTTCTTGGTAAAACTTGGATTCATGTATTTTTACTCTTCTTGATCTCATGTGATGGCTATTTTAATCCTCCCTTTAATAGTTTTTTTTTTTTTTTTTATCTAATCTTAATGGTGAAGTGATTGTTTACTGAATCTACATTTCTAGAATTTGAATCATGGCTTGCTACTTTTACATACTCCCAGTTGTTTTTAGACATAGCATTCACTGTCCAAGTGGAAGTCATCTTTTTAATGTGTAAATTATACTTATTTTTATCTGAGGCTTACATGATACAAGCTGGGGTCTTCCATAGCTCAGGCTATACTCAGTTATGTAGCCAAGGATGATAAACCCTTCTGCCTCCACCTCTCAAGTGCTGGGGTTAGAGGTGTGTACTCTTATGCTACCTTCAAAGCAGAATTTTTATTTCATTTTGTTTTTCTATTTTTAGAAATCTTAGGGATTAATTTTACTCTTTTCTTCTAAAAGAAGCATTTAGTTTTCTTCTGTCTGTTTCTCTTCTAGGGCAGTCACACCTGATGACATTTGTTGCTCCTCTCTGAAACTCCCCCATTTAGAGGTGTTTGGTTCTGAAGTGCTACAGGCAATACTTTGACTGTTCTGCCTTAATAGTCCTCATGGCACTTACCTTGATTTTATTTGTGTAAGCATAACTGGATGATGGTTTTTATCAGATATCTTAGATGGTTCAGTGATTATGTTGGGAACCACAATACACTGTTGAATACTCATTTATGATTTACCTCTACTTATTTTAAGCTTGAATTACATGCCTAAACTATTTTTGCAGAAGCAGGATAAAAATCACTGCATCTTCTGGAGATTTTGCCATTCTTTTCTCCTATAGAATATTTTTGCATAAATTAATGTAACTGGATCATGGGCCTCATTGCCAGGGGAAAGATCAGCCATTCTGTCTACAAGAGTAGTTATTTGACAGAAACATCTCTTTGAAATACAGATGCCACCAGCTTAACAATTCTTTTTTATCTCCATTTAAACAATATCTATGTGTGCATAGATCGTACATAAGCAGCCACTGCAGCAATACAATCTATGCAGATGTCAGTGCATGTGATGTAGAGTCAAGGCAGAGTCAGTTCTCTGAGCTTCCGAGAGTGTTTGTGTTGCAATCCACGAGCACCTTTCTGTATGTTGGGACTGTATCAAAGTTAAGTTAATCAAAGTTCCACAAAATTATAAGCAAAATGTTCACTGCACCAATAAGAAGGCAATTCTGGACTGCAGAATTAAAGGTCTGCAAGGTGCAGAGAATTTAAGGGGCCTTAGCACATCTACACTGTGGATGATCAAACTTTCAGTTTTTAAATTCTTGCACTGCATATGCGTGTTTGTATTTTTATGTGAAATAGTGTGTTTATTTGCTTAAGGTTCATGTTTGTTACTGGCAAAAAAATGTTGGAAATCTCTTAAGTTTTCCAAAAATACCAATGATCATTTAGCTAAGATGTTTTTAAGTAAAGTGCAGAACAACCAAAAACAGCTTGAGTATAAACCAAAAAAGCCTTTATAAAAAACAGTTGCTTGTACTGCTTTTCAAAGATGTAAGGATAAATCATAAGTACAAAGCATGAAATATTTAGAGACATAAAGACTAAGTTAATAGTCGGTTGTATGGAAAATTAAAATAAAAGTTAATGCTTTAAATCTAAGTGTTAATGTTTTTCTCAAGAGGTTTATGGGTTATTTCTCTTACATATGTTGGTAGAATGAATGTCTATCTGTTTTTCTTCCAATCTGGATATGCCTACCTTTTCATTTCTAGGACACATTCAGAGATGATACTTTAGATACTCAAAATATATGTTCTGATTTTCACTGAATACATTATTCTTTGAAAATGATTTATTTGACATCTTGATGTGTTAACCTTGAACTTTTGTTTTTATTACAACTAGAGTTCACCTGGCTCTTTTTACTACTGTAGGATTTGTTGTTGTTTTGTTTTTTCTTTTCTAATTTTTTTATTAAAAATTAATTTTTAATACAGTATATTCTGATTGCGATTTTTCCTTCTCCAGTTCCTTCCACATCTTATCTACTTCTCTTCCCACCCAAATTCACACCTTTTCTTTCTCTCCCGCATTAGAAAAGAAAACAGGCATTTAAAAATAAAATTAAAATAAATTAAGATAAAGTAAGTCTTAATACCTAACATGTAATGAACTTTCTAATTATCATGTATAATGTGACATTTACAGTTCACTTTGAACCATATAAACACTTTAATTTTTCCTTTTGTTCTTTCTTTTCTTTGGCACTCTATAATGTTCCCTAAACAACAAAAATACCCTAAAATAAAATAAATAGTAAATAAGATTTTTTTATTTTGTATTTGTATATTGTATGTCAGTGTGCACATGTGTGTGTTATTGAAACATTATAGAGCTATCCTTGTTTTAGCAAAGTAGTTGATGCATTATGGAAATATACATGGAAAAAAACCCATACTATTTCTTAATCCTCTCTATTGTATGAGAAAATATTAGCAAGGAGATCTGTTAATGGTACTCCCTGCAGCCCCTTCCTAATTGGTTTCTCTGAAATCCAAAACTAACATGAGGAAACCAGTATAAAGATGCCCCAGGCATCTTGGAAACCCTGTGCTAAAATTGACTGTGTTGCACAGATTCTTTTGTCTTTCTGGAGTTGTTTCTAAAGACTCATTTACAGTCAGCGCATTGCTGTCTCTGAGTTTTCAAGGGCCTTTAAGACTTAGGTCCTGTGAGACTTTTGCGTCCCAAGAGGTGTCTTGGAGCATGCTGGTATTTAAGTATGTGCTTCTTCTATCAGGAAGTGATTGCTGTTCTGTTAATCCAACCGGAGAATCACATTGTGTAGAGAAAGGTTAGTTCTACAACCTTAGCTTGAATAGGCCTTGACAGTAATTCTGAAAAGTCTGAAAAATGACAGATAGTTTTTTACAACCTTAGCTTGAATAGGCCTTGACAGTAATTCTGAAAAGTCTGAAAAATGACAGATAGTTTTTTTTAAGTAATCATCCTATATTAAGTGTTTTTTTTTTTTTTTTTTTTTGTGGGGTCATTTATTACTCAACAAATATTCCTTGAAGACTTCCCAGGTTTCAGGCAGTATTTCTGTGAGTAAGTAGCACATATAAGCCCACAAGAATCTCCCCCCACCCCTGACACAAAAGTAACTTATCTATTATGTGAATGTATCTTTAGTGTAAGTCTTGTTCTTACCTCTAGAACCAGTGGAGATGATTCTTTATTCCACTTTAGTTTGAAGACAAGTGTTGTTGAAAAAAACATAACAATGAACTTAATGTATTAAGTTCTTTTTCTGCAGCTGAGAGGGCTGAGCCTGTGGGTAAAATGTTTGCCGTCCAGGCATGAGGACCTTAACTAGAACTTGGTTCCCCAATACCCATGTAAAAAGCCAGGAATGGAATTTCACATCCCTTATCCCAGGACTGAATTGAAGACAGGAGAAACCTAGGTTCTCTGGCCAGCCTCTATAGCCAGTGAAGTTCAGTAAGACCATCGCTAAAATTGAATTGTAAAATAATAGCAGACAGTAACATTTGTGTTCACCCTCCCTGTATGTATGCACATATAGGTGTACACACATGCTTGCACACATACACACACACACACAAAGTACTAATGGAAAATAAAAATATATTTTTCTATTTATTTCATTATGACATCTTTGGTTTGGTTTGGTTTGGTTTTGGTTTTTTAATGTAAGGTATTGCTATGCTGCCTAGGCTGATCTTGAACTCCTGGGCTTAAATATTCTTCAGTAGGTAGAAGTGTAGGTCTGTTGTACCTTGACTGGCTTTGTTTCCTATTTAAACAATAAAATTTAGCCTGGCCAGGTGGCATATGCAGAAATCATAGCACTCAGGAGGCTGAGAGAGAAAGGTCACAAATTCAAGAGCACTTTCTACTTTGTACTCTGTGCTACTACCTTAGCTACATAATTAGACTCTGTTTGAAGTTTTAGCTTTGAAATAACTTTGCACAAGTTTGTTTTCTTCTAATGATAGCATCCTGGAAAGCACATTTAAAAGCTATCCTTTCAAATTCAAGTAACATTTATAAAAGTCATAAATTATTATTCTACTAAAAATACTTTTTTAAAGAAAGCATTGAGGACCAACGAAAATCCTACTGAGTTAGGACAGATAGAACAATGAGTTAACAAAGAGTCCTTACATGTGTAGGAACAAGGTCACGTTAGCAATTTAATTAGACTATATGTAATTTGAACAGGTATCAAAGATCATAGTAGACATTAAAATGAGGACAATAGTTACAGAAATTAACTTGAAAAGAGAATTATGTAACAGTCAGACTTTGCCAGTTAGTATCCTGTTTGATCTTAGACTTGCCATTTTTGCTGATAAATTCTTAAAGAAGTTAGTTCCTACATTATTGCTAAGAACAGAGTGGCTGTTTTGGCCACTGACTAAAGTTATATATTTTTTTCTTTTTTTCCCTCACTGTATTTTGGGAAACATTTTCTTTTGTGGTATAAAGTCAGAAGCGAAATATGTCTAGTTTGAACTTAAAACATCCTTTTAAATTATGGACTCTGAGCTTCATCTGTGTTGTTTCTTTTTAATGTTATCTAAAGTTTTTATGATGCTGTGATTGAACCCTTATCTGTGCATGCTTTAAGTACATTATTCCACAGTTGAACTATATACTGTTTTTAAACTCCTTTCTGTCACATTGATAGGATTGATTTTTTTTTTTTCTTTAGCTATTACTCAACATCTTGGGTTTCCTTCAGGAGTTTGTGGGCTGTTCTTGAGCTTTTTACTGGAGATGTAGAAGCTGCTCACATGAAGGAAGGGTGTGATTCCCTTATATGTATACTCCATACTCACAAATACAGCACCCTAAAACTGTTCATAATCCTTGAAACTCAGATTCAGCCATGACAGATAAACTAAATAGAATATTATGAAAACCTTGAGATTTAGCTTTGACCCAGGTATAATATTCTATAGGGGTGTTTTATGCCATCATTGAAATTATGCTATTTTCAAGATCCAAAAAAAAGTTATATCAAAGTTTTGATATAATACATTGTGATCTCTTCAAACCATATTTAAAGACCTTTTCAAAGAGTTTTATATTAACCTGAGATGCCTTTTATTGAGCAGTGCAAATATAGATTGTATTATTACTTTGTTTCTGTTTTTCTGAAGGCGAGACACCTCCCACAGTGAAGTAACATGGAGGAGCTGTTGACAACACGATGTCTGTCTCTCAAACTCAATGCTGCTCCTCAGATTTGTTTCTAACTTTAATTAGAGTTCACAAATTGTTCAATGTGCCTGAAATTAAATATTAACATGTTTCAGGGTAGCATAAAATTGCCTTTTTTGAATATCCAAGTAATTCTAGAAGGAGTCATTACATTAATCTGTTATCACTTACGTCTCTCTTTTACTAATGCCAAACTAAAGTATGGGCGTATAAATATATTCTGTTGGTTAATTAAGGAGTTAATTTCTGATACTTTATTGTTTGCTGCATTTAATTTTAACAGTTTTCTTCAAAGCCGTTTTATGGGTCTTTTGGATGAAGGCCACAGGTGAAGAGACTGGAATTGTTCAGTGTAATTCCCTTCCTTTTTGACACTGACTCAGCAGAGTAAGAGTTTGTGTGTAAATACTTTCTGTTTTCTTTGAAGCCATGATTTTACTGGTCTCAGTTCTACCAGTCTTTTGCAAATATATGCAGAATATATTTGCTGATTTGCCTAGGAAATCTAGTAAATAAATGAATTTAATGATATTTTTGTTATGTTTATTTTCATGTTCCTGAATATTTCAACTCTGTATTGGGAACATAACTTAAAAATATTAAAGGACAATTAATTTTAAAGATTCTGTTACATGGGAAGAGATGATTTTCTTGAATTAAAGGAAATAGAATTCTACTTTTGTTTCTGGTGATTTTGGGGGGTCATTTCACCTTCATCTGTAATAGCAAACAATATTTTCGTTCATTTTGCTGTAGGCATACTTTTTAAGTTGAATTCTCAGAGCAGCTTTCTGTCGTTAGTGATGTTGATGAACCCTGACAATATTAAGTAGTGCACATATGGTACAATGTATGTACTTTATTTGACTTTATGCTGTAGTGAGTTATCAGTAGTCCATTTCTTTTAAAGTTGTATGCAGTCATTTATGTTTTCTTATTTAATGTTATGCATACTTTCAGCCACCTTTGTTTTCATTCTGTTTCCTAAAGACTACATCTTTGATTTTTATCTTAATTTTTTTAATCCTCTCGTAGACTGATCCCTGGTGTCTTAATTTCCCATACTGTAGTGGACCATTGATATTTATTAAGAATCATATACAGTAGGTTCTATCATCATATCTCTAGCAAAGAGTGGAGTTGTTCTATTTTCTTGCCATAACAAACACTGGTGCTGCAAAGTTTCTAGTTCCATTAAACTTGGAGGCTACTGGCAAGAGTTTACCTATATTTTGGCCTGAAATCACTCTCTTAGTGGCCTGTCATTGGCTGAGAACTGCAATCAGAAGGGAAAGGAAATGCTTCAAAAGTGAGTAATGTCTAATTGCCTTCAGCCTCATGTGATCTACTGTCTGAACACAATGGTGAGGTTCTAGTTAGGCAGCTTAGAACAGTCTGAGAAAGCAGAAGTCGCTGCTTGTGTTTCCTCAGGCCTGATCAGACTAGTTTTCACAACTCTGTTCTGGGAACATTCGTACTTAAACAAATTTGGAAAATGTGGGTTAATTTAATTAAGCTTATTTTTTTATTACAGAACTTTCTTGATTTGATATCAAATTAATAAGCACTTGTCTACCAAGAGGAAGAGTTAATATACAGAGCTTCATAGACTTACGTGCTCATGGAACTCCTTAATTTCCCTTTGCTGAGAAGCTGTACAGAAAGTGTAAAGGAGATAGTTGGCAGATGTCATAACTGTTTTCCTAGCTTACTTTTAAATTTCCCATCTATAAGATGGGAAAGATTCATCTTCCAAGTATAAGGTGATTTTTCAGATGTTTAATAATGTGTCTAAATATATAAAACCAGTTTCTTCCTACTTCCCAAGATTTTGTCTCCTGAAAATAAAGGACAGACTATATTTCTAAAACTGTATGACCCTTTTTACGTCCTTATGTTTTTAGGAATTGGATTTTATTGCATAAAACTGAAGCTTTTATTTTATCTATTATTATTCAGAACTCAATGATCTTTTCATTTTATTTTATCTAATTCTGCAAATTTTTATATATTAACTTTAAGATTTTGCTACTTGGGAAGATTTCCATTGTAACATTCCTAAGAAGGCTTTTTTTTTTTTTTTTCTGAAAACTTTACCTAGTAGTCCACAGTTTTATTTATATTTACAGTAAGGTATTTTCATATTTGTTTTTCTCCAGTAATCTAGCTTAAGATAAAGTCTGAAGCTATTTTGTTAAGATGGCCTTGGTTGCTAAATAAAAAGGTGCCCAAAGCACTTGTACATGGAGGGGAGGAATCGCAAGAGATCAGAGCTTCTGTTCTCAATCAACATTTATGTGGTTCTTTTTATGATAAGCTAGTGTGTTTTCTCCCGAGTCTTCATATAGTATGATTCTGACTCATTAGAACTTGAAAGAAACCCTTACCCTCCACTTCTCAGGCTCTCTTGTTTTCCCCGTACCTTTCCTTAAATCAGATGAATGAAATCTCTAGAGTCTAATTTCAACATTTATTTGTAAGATCTTTTGAAGCTGGAAGGGTATTCTTATTTAAAAAATTATCCCTTTTCAGATACTTAGGAGGGGGTCAGATTTTACAGTTGGGTGCAGTGGTAGAAATAAAAGGAATTGTGTAAATAATCAGCGATTGTACACCATAACTGCTGTCTCCTAAAGTTGGTGGTGTCAGAGTTTTAAGTCCATATAACCACTGAGTTGGTACTCAAACAGTGGAAGGGAGTCAATAATTATTGAGTAATTAGTGAGGTTGTGGTATCAAAGACTCCTTCCTAGACACCAAACCTAAACATCACAGCTCCTTATGTGTAGATTTTACCAAGGTCTGTGCTCTTTTTGTGTAAATACTTCTCTCTAAAATAGATTGGTTGTGTATGTGAAGTGAGAGATATATTTTGCTCTCTAGTGACCAGCTACCTGGTAAATATTGGTAAGACCACCATCAAACCAAACGGCACAGCCTGGCAGCATTGCTAGCCTGGTTCCAGGTTATACTTTTGTTACACATGCCATGTGAGTGGGACAGCTTGGAGAGAGTAATCTTGGAAGCTCAACCTTGATTTTCTAAAACTCTGATTTTCTTTGGTAATCATTTCCTGCTATGTTAAAAATTATGCATAATTTTCTTTCTTTTCTCAGATGGTGTGTGTAATTAGGGTCAGTCCTTTGAGTCACGATTTTAAAAGAGCTAATTATACAAAGCATGGCATTAGAAGTCAGCTTAATTTAGTAACTCTGTATGCTTCAAACTCTAAAAGTTATGACCATATAATCTTTTTAAGTATTGGTAATTATTTTTGGTACCACTTAATGAATGACTTAGGACAACATAATAGGTACTTATCTGAAAAGACCTAGTTAAAGTTTGCAGTGATACAGAAAAGCTACAGAAACGTACTTTTTCTGATATGATAACCAAAAAGAATGCTAGACTTCAAAATTTGAAAATAAGAAACAGGCCTTAAACATATCAAGAACTCAAGATGGTTATACTTTATATTTGTTATCTCTTTTAGGAGCTCCCCCTCACTTATGTTCCCTTCACTGCTTCTTCTTCCCTATCCAAGCCTTTTCCCTTTATTCTGTTCTCTTTGTTATACTTCTCATTTTGAAGATATCAAGTGAATAACTGTTAGGGTCAGTACTTTCCAACTCAGAGAGGACTGCGCTTCAATTGGTGTCTGGTGAAAAGGGGTAATTGTTTGAGACTCAGGAAATGACTAACAACTTTGGGCATGAATACTTTGATGTCCTCAGTGTTCATTTGTATAAATGTTTACTTTGCCCTTGACCCCACTTGTCCTCAAGAAGACTATCAGGGTCTGAAATGTGTGACTATTTGGTTCAGAAAGGTCCAGAAATGATGAAAAGGTGACCATGGGCATAGGTAATTTGAATTGTGTCTTTTTTTTCTTTAGGACATTAGAAAATTAAATAAAATTTCCCCTTGAATTTATTAATATTTTGTTAGAAATGCAAAGATTAAAATGCACCCTCTTAAGAAAAGTTAATATATTATTCTCCAAGCTAGATAGTGGAAAGTCTAAATTTTGTTATAGAAATTTAATTTAAAAAGCAACACTTAATATTTTAGACGTAATTTAGAAAAGAATATAGGTGATATCAAAACGATAATGCATACACATTTCTTTTGAAAGTACTTAATGAAAAAACTGAATGCGTGTACTTCTCATTCTAATGATTATAAGTTAAATAGGGCATAATCAGTTAGTGAAGATGGTTATAGGGTGATGAGCTGTCTCTCAGTGGGAAGTACTACTGGTAGGCTCCTGCCTGGCTCTTCATCAGTTTCAGGAACATTCTTACAATGTAATTTAAAAGATGTAACTGAACCTATTAAACAAAACATTGAGCAAACTGCTTTAAATCTTAATAGTAAAAAATAAATTTCTAAAGTGACAATTATTAATTATGCTTTTAGATATTTGTGAATTTTACATGAATAGAAAAAGAAATCTAGCCAAATATAACTTTGGCCATTACCTTTTATTGCCATCCTTGAACCCAAGATTAGTAAATGTTCCAGATTCGCTGTGCGCTATCCTAAAAGGATGTGGTGGAAAGGGTCGCAGAAAGAGTCAGATGTGTGCTCTGCTCAGCCTTTGAAAGAAGGGAAAGGGCAGGGCTGGTCATGGGCAAATTACTTCCACCTCCCTTTCTGCCCCTGCTTCAGCTCCAGGGGAGCTGGGAATGCACAGAAGGAATCAGAAGACCTGGGTTCCAGTCCCGGCTCTGCCACTTACTACCTATGTGACCTTGGGTAAGTTACCTGACATCACCAAGTTTCAATTTCACTATAGTATGTTGTGAGGATTAACTATGATCTACATAAATGTGATTTGTAGCCTCCCAACATCTATACAGACAATTTTTATTACCGTGGGTTTGGCTTCCTCCCTATTCCTCTGAAGTCTTGTGTTCTGACTTGTGCCTTCTTGAAGCAGTCCAGACGACTTCACTACTTTTGCTTCTCACCCTGCACTCTCTGTATCGGAACCATTGTTCCTGCCCTCTGCATGCTTCTCAGAGTGTAAAACTAAGTGGACTAATCTTCACGCTGGACTGTGGGACACTGTCTTCTCACCCTACTTTCACTTCCCTTTAATCATCTCTGAACTGCATGCTTAAGAACTCAGAGTAAATCTAGTGCATGAAAATTGAGACAGCCTTGAGGAGAAGGATCTAGGTAGAAGGAAGGAAGACCTTCTAATCCTGTTCCCACCTCTTTTGTTACTAGGCAGATTGACTGGGAAAACTGAAGCAAATCTTCTTCCCCTGTATGTTCTGTGCTCCTCAGAGGTCTCACTGGCAACCTAGATCCCTGACCTAAGGAAATTCAAGAAGTGTGATGCCTGTGTCTTTGGTCAGCCCTTTTAGGACAACATGGTTCAGCTTCCTTTTTTCGGAAAGTGCTGGTTTACCCTCCACCAACTTAATTGATAATGCTTGCCTTTCTGGGATTTCGGTTATGAAGGGTGAATGGAACTGAGGAATATGATATGCTTTCTTGATCACACACCTGGCTTCAGACCAAGTGATCCCTTTAGGTTTAAGGAAAGCGTGATGCTCTGTTTGGTTGACCTTTTCCCACAGTCTAAGAATGCATAGTCTGGCACTATGAATAACAGTAGCCATTTCCCATGGACTGCCTGCCATTAATGCCTGATTGCCATGCAGCACAGTAACACTCATATCATTATTAGATTAATTTTATTAAAATTTTGCTTTTTTTAAGCCTTGAACCATTGACTTACACTTCATATGGTTTCTTGCTGAAGTAGCAGTGCCATCTCTTAGAACTAAGACTCAGTTACAAATGCAGATTGAAACAATAAACAGCACAGTTTAAATTTATCAATCAATGGAAAAATTTTAATGACACTCAGGGTGTCAAGGATACCATTAAGTAGGAATGCTGATACAGCGCTGAAGGCTGTATAAATTGATAAGATCTTTTTTGACCACCCCCACCCCAAGATAACAGAGTACTCAAATTTAAAGCCAGTCATTCTGTCCTTGCTGATGTCGCCAAGGAATCAGTAATGGAATTGCAGCACCATACAGCAAGAAACTGAAAGCTGTTTGTCTGACAGTAAAAAATGCTGAATTATTATCTGACAAAAAAACATCACAATGAAATCTGTGATAAATGTTAACAATTTACAGGCCTGAATGAAAATATATCAACAGTTGTTTTAAAGTAATGAAGTTACACGTAACTGCTGTGTATGTATATTCTGTCTTACAAACTTCCTATAATTTTCCATTATGTCTTCATTTGGAAAAGTCAAAGCAAACAAGCTGAACAAGAATTCTTCTGTGACAGTTCATCCCTCAGTTTATTTTTTTTCCCATGCCTTCCTGAAGTACACTTGATACATGGACAAGACAACCTTTCTGTGTTTATTGCGCTTAAGCTAGCCTGCTGCCACTCCTCCACTTTCCAGTGGACGTTCTCGCTGGGGCTCTTCTAAAAGTCTCTCCAGCCTAATGAGCAGATTGTTGCCCAAAGCAACAATTCAGTTTTTAGAAAATGCCTCTAGAAATAGTTTTCTAGAATTTTCTAGTACTATTAATATAACATTAACATCTTTCAGGATCCGTTTCTAAGATTTTATTTTATGTGTATAAGTCTTTTGCCTCTATGTATGTTTGTTCACTACCTGTATGAATTGGCTTGAGGAAGAGAGACAAGAGCATCAAATCCCCGGGAACTGGAGTTACAGAGGGCTGTGAGCCGCCATTTGAGTGCTAGGAATCAAAGCAGGGCACTCTAAAAGAGCAGCCAGTACTCCCAACCTGAGCCATCTTACAGCCCGTACAGTAGCTTTTTGAGCTCATCTGGATGCCAGATATTAACACATTCAATAGCAAATGTTAAATGTCCGTGTCCATGTCTGTGTGTCCGTGAGTGTGTGTGCCTTGTGTTGAGTGGGGGAGTGCTGCTTTAAATTCTGTTGTTTGCTATACTTATTGTTCTTTTGCAGGGGAGATATTTCAGTTAAAGGAGCAAGAAAATAAGATAGGAAATTACTTTTAAAAACTACTCTGTAGCTGGGTATGGTAATACATGCCAACTCCCTCCACTAAGAAAGCTGAGCTTAGTAGTTTGAGATCAGCCTAGGTAACATATAAAACCCATGTCAAAATCAATAGCAGTAAACAAACAAACAAGACAAAACAGAAAACCTTTAATCTTATGAGGTATAACCTAAACTGTTGACTTGTCTGCTTATTACTGACTCTTTCATGAAGAGAACGTGAGAACTTGTAGCAGTGGTTCTCACCCTTTCATACAGTTGCTCATGTCGTGGGGACCCCCAACCATAGAATTATTTCATTGCTACTTCATAACTATAGTATTGCTACTGTTATGAATCATAATATAAATATCTGATATGTGGGATATCTGATATGCAACCCATATGAAAGCGATCATGGTCCACAGGTTGAAATATAATGTAAGTTATAATCTTACATTATGGCCAGACAACTTAGAAAAACAGCTTGTCTCAAAGACCATGGTATTGAATGTTTTAAAACTTTTTAAATATGAAATATGGGAATTTTTAAATTACAAAGCTGATGAACCTCTCTTACTCAAGATGTACCAGGGTAGCACTTTCTTGAGTAAATTGAGGAGCTTGCTGGTTAAGTATACAGTGGAGAAGTGTTTGTGTTCATCCAGACTTCTGGAGGTAAATATCTTAGAATCTATAATCGTAAACAAACAATTCGTTGTGAAGATTCTTTCTTTGGTGAATTTGACTACTTGATTTTTTTTTTCTAGTAGTCACGTTCTTGAAGGAGTTAGACTCTATCTCAGCAGATACCAAAGAAGAGAAAAACTTTTATCTTGGAAGAAATTTGTAATAAAATTAGTATGTTTGATAAGCTGGTATGACTTGTTTCTGTGAAAACACTGCCTCAATGCTCGTTTTTCACTGGAAGAAAAGTGGACATGGTACTTCTCAAGTTCTTCCTCTCTCTTCGGTACTGTGTTGGTTATTAATGGGAGATTGTAAAAATAATTTTGTATAAAATGCAAAATAAGAGCTAGTTTGGCATTTAAGTGTTGGGTTCGTAATCTCTGAAGTCACTAGGATAAAACAATAGACTAATTCGGTTCAAACTAATAAAAGAAAAAGTGATTGTGCTTTATCTAATATTGCAAAGAATAGAACATTACATTTAGGAACTAATAACAATATCTCACTTTAAGGAATTAGCTCTTAGGCTAATTCATTTAGATGCCATAGCTGCAATGGATAACGTTGATATTTCAGGGTATCTTAGTTTAGTGAAAATAGATTGTGTTCAGTGTAGATAACTTGGGGTGGTTTGTGCTCTGTAAGAAGAAATTTAGCATCCACATGCTATGTCTATTTAAAATGTGAGGTTTATACTTATATAAAGCTTCCTAGAATTTATGAGATTCGCCTAATCTCTTCTAGCGTATTCATCCACTGCAGTAGATGAAAAAAACATGAATTTGATAATCTACCACAGCCTGTGCAAAAATCTCAGTTATGTTTTCTTCTGAAAAATAGCAATAATAATAAACTCAAGATTTTGGTGAGCTGCATAGAAACGGCTCGCTGAACATCTACTCAGTTCCAAATGCCTGCTCTGTGGATTCTTGATCACTTTCTGTTCCTCTTTTTGTTTTCCTTTAAGGCTTGGAAAGAAACAGTCTTTCTAACGTTGACCTCCTGTATGAGGGGGTCTGATGATCTAAACTGCAGTAGCAGCTACTGACTAGAGGTAGGAGCTGGGTCTCTGTCCTAAACTTCTCTTGGAGGAAAACCAAACAACATCTTATCCTATTAAACTCTTCTGTTTCAATGTTACTAATAAAATGAAGATCTTCATGAACTTCTAAAATGTATGTCTAAAATTCACAAATCTTTTAAAGCAAATTAATTTTTCTTGTAGCACATAGTCCTTTGACTTAATATGACTTTGGCCACAAAAGTTATAAAGTTCATCTTTATAAACTGTTTTCCTATATGCCTCAGAAACCCTGCAGTTTGCTGTAGCTTTCCTAAGTGGGTGGCTTCTGCTTTTGCTTCAGCATGATGTTTTCAGCCACTCATGCAGGAAGTGTACTTGCCCTTTGACAGTGGCAGGATTGTTGCCCATACCTGAGTTTGAACAAATTAGTGTTGAACCCTGAACAAGCTTTTTTTTTTTTATGTTGTTGTTCCTAAATCTTTAGTGTAGCTTTTAAGACTAATATGTTCTTCTTCAGAGATAATAAAAGTGAAATTTGAGTCATGGATTTTATACTCTGAAAAGGGTTATGAATTGTTGGAATACCACAAACTCTCTAGTCTCTGATTTCTCCTGGTTATTGTTTTCCTTCTTCTAGCAAATTGCCTTGTGTTTTAGATGCCATCATCAAGAGCTGCCTGTTCCTTCCTTTCCATCCACTTGACCTATTTGCTATGCTTTTAATAATTCTTTTTTATATTTACTTAATTATTTTGAGGCAGAGTCTCACATAACCCAGAGTAGCCTCAAACTTGCTCTGTAGCTATGGATGGCCTTGACTTCTTGATCCTCCTGCCTCTGCCTTCTAGGTGCTGGGATTACAAGCATGTATTACCATTTCTACCTATTTACTATACTTTTTAATACATGTAACTTGTGATCTTTTGAGGAGAGTTCCAAATTGTACAAGGGAAAAAGATCTTTGTTTATAGATGAAATGAAACCTCCCCCCCCCCAATGGTTGCAGGCTGGAGAGATGGCTCGATGGTTCATATCACTAGCTGCTCTTTCAGAGGACCCAGGTTTAACTCACAAAGCTCTATGCTAGCTCACAACAACTGTAATGCCAGTTCTTCTGGCCTACACATGTGTGGTACACATAATACATACATACATACAGACAAAACAAAACACCCACACAAATAAAGTTGGTTGGTTTATCTTTATACTTTTAGGTGAAATCCAAGGGAATTGAGAGACTTCACACTTTCTTAACATGTTCATGCTTTCATTGGTCTGGCATAGCTGGATGACAAGGGGGAAATGTTCTCATTTTTAGATGATAACAAGAACATAATGTGTTTAATAAAAAGATTTTTATTTTAGTTCTTTGCATAAGATGATGAACCAAACTATATAATAAGATCTCCCAACTTGTGTTGAACATCTCAGACATTTTTGGATGTGGAGTTATAGGTGGTTAAAGCGTGCTTCTTCAATTTCTGTAAACCTTAAAAAGCAAGTGGCAGCAGAATGTATTTGCCTTGTACCAGGAGAGGGCGGATGCTAATTTTCATTCTTTTAAGTTGAAGGAAATAACTTTGTCTTTTTTTAATCTTGAAAAAAAATCTTTATGATACCTTATTCTCTCTTTAGTTATCTGTCAAAAATGACCAAGAAAATTTCTTTTAGTAAGAAAGACACTAAAGAAAACTGTTTACATATTTAGCAGTTTTAATCAAGTGGGAAAATGTATAAACGTAAGCATAATGAGTTAAAATACGTACAGTAGAACAATGATAAACAGTTAATTTAGTGAACTAAATGTATCGAAGTGGTTAAGATGTGAGGCTAAAACTTCTTCTGTTTAATATGGTTGCCATTAGAGCACTTTCTGGTCTCCCTTCCCCCAGCATAACTCTTGCTATACATTAATTAATGTAATAGGTATAAAGTAAATGTCAGCATTCCTACTTGACACACTATAACAATTGCAGGTATAGACTCTGAGCCATATCTAACTTGTCTAAAATCTTTGACTACTAAGTTAAGGGACTGGTGTTTAGATTTGGCACTTTCTGAAACCACAGAGAGAAATCCTACAGTTGATTTCCGAATAGGATTAAATGATACTCATCAAAGAACTTGTGTGTGAGTTTAATGAAACATATGTGTGTGAGATCATATATATGTTCACCACAGTGGTAAGCTTATACTTTGATAAATTTCTCTGATAAGATGTCTTTTAACCAGTATTAATTTTTACAAAGAGTCAACCGAGTTTTCTTATTTCCCTAAAAGATCAAAAACACAAGCAAGTTTTTATGTTATTTAAGTTCAAAAGTGAAAATGAGTGTTGTAAGTATTAGCTGGTGTTTCTCGAGGGCAGGCAGGAGTTTCAGAGAGGGTAGAGAGTCAGCCAACCTCATTGTTTATTGTACTGTCCTTGCGGTGAGAGTTAATCTTATACTGTGACATCTTGTTAGCTTGTGAATGCACTGCAGACTGTTATCAAGGCTCAGCTGTATTATAACTACCCATCTGGAAGTTACTCTTTTGGACAGCAGTCCTCTAACTTCCACCCGCTCTGCAGAAATGAAGGCTAACAGGTTACCAGGTGGCTATACCTTCTGTTGTTGCACAGTTATTCATAATACACCAGTGAGAATATTGTGCCAATATAGGGGTTATTTCTACTGCACAGTCATCAGCTGTGTTTAATGTAGAGCTTTGTGCTTACATTTGGAAAACGATCCTCTCCAAATATGTAATGATTTAGATTTGGGAGTGCATTGTAAGGATTTCATTTAGTGTCAGGCACAGACTGAGTAAACTGTTGAGCAACTGATAAAAGCTTTAAAGCAACTGCCTAATATATTGATCCATTGTCAGGGAGAAGAGAGGACTTTCTTCATGAGAGATATGCAGTCATATTATGTTCAAGGCCAGTCATACTTGTAATAATATTCCAAGTACAGGTCATATAGAAAGTCAGTACTGAAATGCAAAAGAAAATATTCACGGTGATAGAAATTCTAGAAATAATGGCATTTGACAGGTGACTCGTATTGAAAGAATGAGGAAAGGTAAAATCCTTCGTCTTAGACAGTCTCATTTGATATATAGAGGAAGAAACAGACCTAGCTAGAAAACTCAGTCCGCACTCATAAAGTGCCCTCTTCTGTAGGAGAAAAGGCACACTGCTGTGAAATCATCCCTGTGGTGATGCCCTGTGTTGTGGGAAAGGGCTGTGCTTCAGAGTCTGGCTGTGCTCCTGTGCACCTCTCACACCCTCAGTGAACTAACTGGATGGGCGTTGTTAAACATAGGTTTTTATTGTTTCAGTCAGTAGTAATGATTATGGTTTGTGACACACACACACACATTGTTGTGGATAAATGGGCATTAATTTGGCACGATTCTTGAGGTTGTACCTACTTTAAAGTTACATTTTTTTTTATTTTATCTGTCTGTTAACTTCCTTAATTCTTAATAAAGAAGTGAAAACATCAGGAAATTATTTCATCTCTCTGTTATATGATATTGGTAATGATATGAAGCATTTTCCATAAAAATCTCCCTTGTCCACCTCAACTTTCAGTATGTTTTAAAAGCAGAGATGTGACCCTGTAAACTGGACAAAATGGTAGTGGTGTTTTTCTAGCTCAGTCTTTCAAATCTGTACTTAAGCCTTTGTAGCATACCATATGTGTCTGATTCAGTTGCCCTCTTAAGGAAATTGCGTTGAGCTAAGTGTTTTACAATAAAAGCTAGATTGGTGTTATGATCTGGTAATTACTGATTTCAGACAAAAGAGTTGGTTTTACTATCTTAATTCTGTTACATTAGCCTACTATTTTAAATTGTAAAAGTAATATAAATTATGGGAGTAAAATAGCATTTTGTCACTTGACGTAATTTACACGCTTTATAATGAGCATATAATAAACTCACTATAAAGTATGAATTATATGTTTAATGTTACATATGTAAAATATTATGTATATCTTCAGCTAACATATTTTGGAATGCATCGTTCTTGTACACATAAACTATAAACATCTACCCTAACATTTCTCTACGGACATAGGTAGACATATTTTCTTCTCATTTACCATTACTACCATATTTCTACTCCTAAACACTGTTTTCAACTCCTTTCTTTATTTTACCAGCTGTATTTGTTAAATTTTTTGGGGTAGGCTAAAGGCAAGATGTTCGAAGAGGTTAGGCATGTGACTTCAATTTTGATTTCATCTCAAAATACTGAGATTTTATAAGATACTGTCTGTAACTTTTGGTGATCATTTTCACGCATGCCCTTTTGCTAATTTCCTCCCCTTTTTTGTTCCTTTTTCTTCCTTCTCTCTATGCATAAGAATGACTATCCTCCAAAGAAAGGAAAAAAAATGAGAGAATGAGTTATAATGATAGATCTTTATGTTTTAACGCAGTTTTAAGTTTATTAGCACAAATTATGCAAATGAAATTAGCCATGTGTGTTTCTAGCTGTCGCACTTCTTATTTTGTTTTCAGGATGGTTAGCTGTCGCACTTCTGAAATACTTGGTGAAAGTTTTTTTTTTTTTTCTCATCACTTTGGCTTTCATTTTCTCCAGATTTTCTCCTTTATCTACGTATTGTTAGAGTAGTGCACAGTGCACACTTCCTGTTTAGACTCCTCGGAAGTCTGTAACCTCTTAACCTCCCAAGACAGTGCGATTTAGAGAGATGCTTTTTTTTTTGCAAGTGATAATTCTTTCATTGTGCTGAAGCCATCTGTACAATCATGCAGCATGGGAACTTAAGATATATGCTCAGGTCTTGAGAAATGCTTGCAGAGTGCTAACTCCTACTGCTGTTACTCTACAAAAAAAAAAAAAGAGTTAATTGTATATAACAATTGCTCACACGCACACACTCACCTGTATTTCCA